AAATGAAACCGTTCAAAGCGTAAGAGTATATCTATTTCTCATAGTTAAATTCATAGCAATCATTGTTCGAGTTAAAACACATATATCACATCTAAGTCTCAAAGTTGATTTGGCTTTTAAAGGCATTAATTATGATTAATAACGAAAACTCGAGATAAAATTGTATGTTAATATCAAAACTTGCTTGAGGCTGCCGCGTCAAGGATTCGAATCCTGAAATATGAAGTTGGACATTGAGTAAGTACAAGTGTACAAACAGTCTTGCACCATGTACCCTTGGAAGTATAACCTGCGATTTACCTCCTTCACCAAGGTTCAGGACTGAGCAGGTGAGGGCCGTCAAAGATGCGGCTCATCCTTTTTTATGTAGTGTTTTGTCTTCTTTTGTCCTCTTACTGGGAGTATTTATAGGCTTCCTTTGAGGCTTTAGGATAATTATGTCATTCTAAAAAGTAGCAGGTGGCGATCGCTTAGCAATGAATTTATAACTAATTTAATTATTGAATTCACACGTTATTCATTGGTTTTAATAGTTACGCTATACGTATTTACCCACTTGTGTTTTAGAAACTGTCTCCACCAACTTGGAGATTCAAGGGGGATGGTTCGCTTCCCTTTATGTATGAACTCTTCTATATTTTTTGTTGGGCATACTTTTCGTCCATAGGGGGTATGAACTCACAAGCTCATTGTCAATAATAATGTAAAGAAACGATGTGTCTTACGATACCAAGTATGGCAAAATTTTGTAAATCATGATTTATATGTCAATGTCATATTGTTACGAAAGACAACCAGCATGTAATGAAAACATGTTTATCAAAAGGTCATCAACTCTATAGTATTCCTTGTACTAGATAGCATCATTGCACCCAAAATAATAATGCACTAATTTTACAATAAAAATGATCAAAAGTTATATCACGCATTTAAATAATTGAAGATGGCTCTTCGTCAACCCAAAAAGCAACGACATGTGATACGGTTGGAGCATTATACACCCATTCTTCTAAACTCAATTGATCAGTTTCAATATTTATCGTATGGTTTCTATATTTGGAACATCATCCAAAGAAGGGATAGAATTTGTATATGGATTAACCTTCAAAATATCGATTAATTTTTTAAGAAATTGATTCATTCAGGTTATTAGTAATTTCCAATTCATTTGTCATTCTTCTTGATCAAGGTTAACTAGACCAATGGTCATTGAAGTTTTAAGTAATTACACTAATTACAATTAAAAGTTAGTATCGTATGTAATAGTCACTCAAGTTTCTAATGCTTACATTAATAATTACTCAATTAAAAATATTAAAGTTAAGTCCTATGTATCATTGCTAAATGCGAGCGTGTCAACAAATAATGTTGTTTATTATACCAAGTTAGTAATTGAGGATTAAAAACATTCACGCGAGAAAACGTAAGATTTTTGTATGGTATGTCCACTTTCTTTAAACGACGATTTTCGTTTGTACGAAGTAACAAAATTTTTGTTTGGTGACATGTTGACATTTAACCATGCCACATAATATTTAACGTTAATATTTTTATTACAGAAATCATTTGTGCAAACTTTGAAATTTGAATGATTTTTATCATAAAAAAATAATTTTAATTCAGAAAATAACTTCAATAACTACAGATGTAATTACTCAAATTTTTAGTGATGTAATTAACTATCTCAACCACCATATAATTACATTCTACATTTTCATATGTAGTTTACATATATCTGCAAATTTATATAAATACATCAAATATGTATAATTTGAATGTATATTTGTGCATACATTTGCTTAAGAGGAACATATTTTACATAATAATGAGGACAACATAGTGTTACGTTGCTTAGAGAGAGGTATAAGTTACATTAATCAAACAACTCGCATCGTGTACACTATTTAATAGTGGTGCCCCGTGAATGGGGTCATCATCAGGGGCGGACCCTGTGCAGGCCCAGTGCACTATTTAATAAGACACAACACAATTAAAAACTCGCCCCGTGAATGGGGTCATCATTTGTTTATTTTCGAACTATGATACAATAATGAAGTGTAGAACTAGATAAGACACAACACAATTAAAAACTAAAACAATGACTAGACTATAGCCAACATTTATTTGATTATTATTTCATCGTAATGAAGGAACATTGACTTGT